CATAAGGTATGGGCTATTGTCTGATAGCACACGTGCCGCCAATCTATGGCCTGTACTCAGCCTTCTTCCCGGCCCTCTTCTACACCCTATTCGGCACAGGATTTCACTCGGCTTTCGGTCCCTTCGCTATAGTGTCCGGTGTTATGACCGGCGATATCGTAACACAAGTGATGACACAATTAGGCAAAGATGTCCAGCAAAACAACCAAATCAAAGGATATAGTTTTGTGGAGCCTTTAGCCGCGTCTACCAGCGATGACTTTCCCGGTTTGCTGACCATAGACGTGGCCATAATGGTAGGCATGATAATCGGGATCTATATCTTCGCGTTTGGTGTCTTTCAATTGGGTTTTATATCCAATTTTATGTCCGAAGAGCTGATCAGTGGGTTCACCACATCCGCGTCTGTCATAGTGTTTGTGTCACAACTACCGTACCTCTTGGGGGTAGACTATAAGCACTTCTCCGGACCATTTAATCTTTATTATACTCTCAAGGAAGTGTTTACAAGACTCGAAGAGATTAACTTCACGTCACTTACCATAACAGGGATTTGTTTAGCAATACTACTGTTTTTTAAATTAGTTGTCAATCGGTTCACAACACGGACTCGTATTAAGACACCCTTTCCTATTGAGTTATTTGTGGTAATTGGGGGTACGATTGTGTCCCATGTTATGGAGCTTAGGAAAGAGCCCTATAATGTCAAGATTGTCGGCGAAATTGGTAACAAGTATGTAATCATTTTATAATAATTATTCATTAAATTAATTTTAATACTATACACAACTGCTAGTGATTACTTAATTGATAATTTCATAAATCATTTTATAGAATATAATGTAGCTTGATACAAATAGAAAATTTCAGACATACAATACTGTATTAAATTATAAATGGATTAACTTATAATTATGATCCTACTCAGTTTTCCCACTCCGATGTCTCCCAATTGGAAACTGTTTCCGATAATGTGGGACAAATGTATTGCCACTGCGATCGTGGGCTACACTATAACCCTATCGGTGGGCAAAATATACGGCAAAAAACATGGCTATAAAGTGGACCCAAACCAAGAGATGATAGCTATGGGCGCGGCAAACATGATATCCTCGACCTTCCAGTGCATCCCATGCGCCGCATCCCTACCCAGGAGTGCCCTCCAAGAGACGGCCGGCGGTAAGACCCAAGTGGTCAGTGTTGTCAACTGCCTGTGCATTGTGGTCGTCATACTAGCCCTGGGCCGGTATCTCGAGGAGTTGCCAACTGTTAGTATAAATTATTTTAAAATTATTAATATAAACATAATTACAATTAAATTTTATTTACATCTCAAAGTGTGTATTGGGATCGTGTATAGCCGTAGCCCTGGTATCTCTTATTACAAAAGTGGGCGAATTCAGGCGCTTTTGGAAAGTGTCAAAACTGGACGGGGTACTCATTTTCATACGTCAAATGTTTGTTTATTAATGCATGTATTTTTGAAATCCTAGATGATCTGGATGATCACATTTGTATTTGTTTTGGTGCTGTGCGTGGACTACGGCATATACATCGGTATAGTGGCCTCACTATTGCTGTTGATATACAAGAGTGAAAGGCCTAAAACCTATTTGTTGGGCACAATGCCGGAGCTGGACATCTATGTGCCCATCAATAAGTTCAATCGCGTGGAGGAGCCCAAGGACTTCAAGATATTTCAAATGTGCGGTCCTTTGAATTTCTCAAACGTTGAGTACTTTTCCACTGAATTGGAGAATAAGTGCGGATTTCATTTGACGTAAGTTTTTAGCACACATTGTATGAGACATACGACTAATTACATTAGAAACTAACCATAAAAACACATCACAAATAATAATTAGTCGTTTTTATGATCATATTTATCGTGTTTTATGATTTCATTAATTTGTTTTGCAGTTCAATACAGAAGTACATGAAAAGCAAGGAATATAAGTCGAGTTACGCTAAGGTATCGCAAAATATTAGATACGAAACGCTACCCAAGATTCAGTTGACACGACTGGCCCTTAATTATGATACTCTACCCAAATATCTGGTCATCGATTGCTCGGTCTTCTCATTCATCGACTTCTCCGGGATATCGACTCTTAAGAAAATAATTTTGACGTTTGAAGACATAGGCATTCAGACAGTACTGTCCGGAATACACGTCCACTTGGAGAGTATGTTGGCTAAGGAGGGCTTCTTCACCGACATATCCACCGATCACTTGTATAAGACTATACACGACGCTGTCGTATGTCTTCAGGAACTGGAGAATGAGTCCAAAGAAGACGATGTCTTCAACGGTAATCTCATATTGAATCCAATTTTTACTTATAATGACTGTCAGGATGTTTGACATTATTAATGACAACCACTTCTCTCATATGTCTAATAATTGTTATTTATTCAGAAAATTATGTGTCTAGGTATTTATTTCAAGTTAAATGTTTTCTCATAAAATATCTGTCAATAAATCTCAAATGAATGTTATATTTATGAAAATATGTGTCTATTGTTTGCGTTTATACTAATAAATCTATTTTTAACTATACTTTTAGATGTCTGACCAAAAACTTGTGATAAAACTTACTTTTGTGATAATAAATACATTTTTAGTATAAAAACTGTTTTATATGTGAAACACAATTTCCAAACTAAGTGTCGCTAAACTAATGAATTAACAATGTCCAAGGTAACTGTCTGTGTAATTAATTTGCAAATCATTTCAAATACACCAGAATTCACGGGAAAAAATAGTCCACTGTTTATGAGACCCATCGCACAGAATATGGGCGCTAATCGATACACCTATCAAAGCGACTCATCACTAGGGAGTCCGCATCCCAGCCCCAAACCCGGCGCCAGAAATGGATTCAAAAAGGATAACCTATTCCTCTCATTGAGACCCAAGACAACCACTGACTACGGCTTTCCCAATAGACGACTGTCCAAAACATTGTCGGCTCAGTCGTCGCAATCGCGGTCCACACCGGAGATCACGACGATATACCCCCTGAAAGCCAATACCCGGGACTCCTATATCCGTATGGATGGCGGCCTCAACACCACGCCTCCCAACTCACCCCGAATATCGTCGGCGCCGAACATCGACTTCCTATTCGACTTCGACTTACCCTCCACTCCGTCCTCCCATTCCAGCCAACAGTCCCTACCCTTCAGCGAACCC